ATCCTCTGTTTAGTTGTTATTTTATTTTTAGTTGAAATGTGTTCTAGTACCAAATGGCATTATGAAATATGTGAATTGAAAAAGGCATTAGTTAGATTTCGTATGTGACCAATATCCTCTCAGAGTGCAAAAATAGTACTCTTAATTAAAAACACTCAACTGGCTTCAAACTTTGTTGTGGATATGAAGAGTAGACCCTCTTTCTTGTCATGATTGCAATAAAGCAGCAGTATGATAATAAAAGTATGTAAAAAGTGTATAAGGAATAGTGTGTACTGGTCTATTGGCTGTCTATCTAATGAGCATTGCATGCTCTGATGTTCATCTATTTGCCACATTGAAACAGTTTAATGAGGTAGAAAGTACTAGTTTTAAAATGTGCAGATAAGGGGGTGTAGTGGTGTTTGGACTCCATTCTAAAGGCAGTGGTTTTAAAGGAACATTATAGTGTTAGGAATACAAACGCATATTCTTAACACTGTAGTGCCCTTCTTACTAGTTAGGTGACCACCCCCAAACCCCATTTCTACTAAATAATGCTACCTTCCTGACTCCAAGGCTGATCTCATCAAGACTGAAGATCTCAGCCAATTCAGTGCTTTCCCTATCTGAGGGAGTTAGAGCACAGGGGCCGGGTTTTCCAGCTCCATCTCTGACTTTCTCCTAGAGCGCTGGACCGTAAGGCTTGTGGCTGCACCAGCAGCCCTCTGGATCACCAGGGAAGCCACCGGATCACTAGGGAATGCATCTGTGCCTATGATGTAAATAGAAGGGGGACAAATGTTATATAAAATAAAAGGCAATTTCTGTGTGGGGAGACTGACTTTTAACACAGCTGTGACTGTGTGTGACTCTATGTGTGAGACAGCGTGCTTGTGTGCAACTGTGTTAACGTGACTGTGTGTCTATGTGCCTGTTACAGTGTGTGTGACTGTACAAGATTGTGTGTTACTGTGTGCATGGGACATAGTGCAATATATAATCAGGGGTCAAGTCCTGGGGAATAAAGTGTGGGAACTCACCCAAGATCCACCGCCACCCCACACCCCTCAAAAAACAAAAACACTCGTATGCATATATAAACGCGTGCACACACACAATGACAGGTGCACACACACACTTAGACACACACACACACTTACAGACACACACACTCACACAGACACACAAACATACACTCACAGACACACACACACTCAGACACATACAATCATACACACTCACACACACACTCACAGACACACACACTCACAGACACACACCACAAACATACACTCACAGACACACACACACTCAGACACATACACACATACATACACACTCACTCACAGACACACACACACTCTCAGACACACACACACACACACTCTCAGACACACACACACACTCTCAGACACACACATACACTCACAGACACAAACATACACTCACAGAAACACAAAAATTATTATTATTTTTTCAAATGTAAAAATGTCCACCGATGCTCCCTAACTGGAGAGCTGGTGTGGCCTATCCCTGGGGTCCAGTGGGGCTCCAGTGCGGCGGGCGCCTGTCTCCCTGTCAGACGCGGCGAGGGAGCTGTGACGTCATATTCCGACTCCCGGGAACAGCAAAAAAAGCGCGAGGGAGCAGAGCAGAGTCTGACAGGGAGACAGGCGCCCACCGGGGGGGTCTATCAGGTGGCCATTAGGTCACCTCTTGGGCCCCCCCATGACAGGAGGAACATGGGGGGCATTTGGGGGCGGCCCTGTATATAATCATAAACTGTAACTAAACCCCCATTATTTTTTGCCTAGGTGAGGTGTTTTTAAATAAAACTATTACAATCTGTGAGATTTTAAATCACTGTTTAGTGAATGAACGAGTGCGCTGGATTGTGTATTTTGTATGTTGTATGTTGTATAAATTGGCCCCAGCAGAACCCTATAATATATGCATGTTCAGGTGAGTGCAGCCCTAGCCATCCTTGGTTTCATTTATTTATAGTGTGTGTGTGTGACTATGTGCATCTGTGTGTATATGACTGTATGTCTAGGTATATCTATGTGTAAGTGACTGTATAATTGTGTAATAATGTATGTTATAGTGGTGTGTGTTTGTGTGGCTGTGCATGTGTTTGTGTGTATGTGTCCATGTTTGATTGCATGTTTATATATATATATATATATATATATATGTATGCATTCATGTCACTGTATATGTATGTGAGAAATACAAAAAAGGGTAGGAAGGTTCAGAAACAGACGAGAGGTTAGGGGTTGTTAAGAGATACTACACAAGAAGTAACATTGGTTAATAGACAAACAAGAGGGTGAAAATGGTTAAAAGGCACACAAGGTTGAAAGGGAGATAGGAGAAACACACCAGAAGGGTCAGACGATCATGTCACTGTATATGTATGTGAGAAATACAAAAAAGGGTAGGAAGGTTCAGAAACAGACGAGAGGTTAGGGGTTGTTAAGAGATACTACACAAGAAGTAACATTGGTTAATAGACAAACAAGAGGGTGAAAATGGTTAAAAGGCACACAAGGTTGAAAGGGAGATAGGAGAAACACACCAGAAGGGTCAGACGATGCACACAGGGACAAGCGACACACAGAAATGTTAAACTGGGGAGGAGGGCAACATTCATATGCAGAATTGGGACCCGTAGATGAATTATCCACAATAAAGAAAATCTAAAAATAATAAAGTATGTGACAATGAGCTCCCAAAATGGAGTGTGTGGAAGACCTTTCCATAGTCCTGCTGGTTAAATGGGGGTTTATTATATGACACCCATTTAACCTGCAAATCATTTAATCTATACATCATGCAAGTTGGCTAGCAAGAAAATATGTAGATTAGAAGAGATAATTAAAACAAACAACCAGCCTGACATCTGGCTCCAGCCTGGCACCAAGAGGTTGCAGCGAGGACGCACTGCATGGGAATGAGATTCATGCTTTACTTCTGGGACAGATCAAAGAGCATGCCAGATGCAATGCAAGTATGTGGAGACATATATATTCAGGGTTATTCACTAAAGGGAGAATTAAAGGTGAATTCAAAGTGAATTTTAAATATAAGGTCAAAACAGTCGAACTGGAAAAATCCTCTAAGTTGACTATACTTTCAGTTCGGCTACTCAGGCCTTAAATGATACATTTACTTTGAACTCTCACTTAAAGGACCACTAAAGTGCCAGGAAAACATACTCGTTTTCCTGGCACTATAGTGCCCTGAGGGTTCCCCCACCCTCAGGGTCCCCCTCCCGCCCGGCTCTGGAAGGGGGAAAGGGGTTAAAACTTACCTTTCTTCCAGC